GTCACATGTTCTCAGCAGTGTCTAGATATGGCTATTGAGAAAAGCAGTGCTGTTTCACGAACTGAACAATATTATGTTTGTCTTTTAGGACTTTTGACTATTAATTAATTAATGCTATATTGGCACCTGTTTTAGTTTTCAGAGCCTATAACAGTAACACTGTTGTAACTTGTAGTTAAAATGTCACTTAAATGTTGTTTCCTATGTGTGGAAAGAACATTTAGGTGAGGAGAATGTGAAGTAATGTCTGTGTCTCTGTTTTAGCTGGGGGCATCTGTTGACACATTTACAGACACTAAGCTATTCATAGACATTTCTAGTTGTTCCAGACCAGTTTTGTGTCTGTGTGTTGAATATAACTGTTGATTTAACACATTTACTTCCCTGTCTAATGTGTCTGTTTCTGAGGCTCTAGGCTTCTGGACGCATGGAGTTCAACACTTTGTTAAAATCTAAAGCTGTTAAATTACTTGAAATTGCATAATTGTGCAACTATTGTGAGTGAAGGTGTGTGCTTATTGGTGTGATTACATTATTGGAACCATCGAATATTTAAGCAATAAGGCACGAGGGGGTGTGGTATATGGTCAATATACTACGGCTAAGGGCTGTTTTTATGCACGACGCAACGCGGAGTGCCGGATACAGACCTTAGCCATGGTATATTGGTCATATACTACAAACCCCTGAGGTGCCTTATTGCTATTATAAACTGGTTACAAACGGAATTAGAACAGTAAAAATACATGTTTTGTCATACCTGTGGTATATGGTCTGATATATCATGTCTTTCAGCCAATCAGCATTGAGGGATCGAACCACCCAGTTTATATAATTTAGATTATACAATGGATGGGTCTAATCCTGGATGCTGATTGGTTAAAATCGCATTCCACCCGGTGTCTGTTCCACAAGTTACCACCGGCTGAAGCTATGATGTTGAAATGCCTATACTCTGTTCCATCTCACTGCGCAATCCACTGTCTAATCAGCCCAGCCAGGCAATTTATAAACTTGATCTCCACTATAAAAAGCATCTAGTCATTATCTCCCATTTCTTTTAGACTAGCATTTTGTTTTCAACAGCGTAGATTTGTATAAACCTTGCTGTCTGTCTGTCCGACATTTGCAACATTGATTCAATGTTGAAATTCGATCTCCAGCTGTCCCATAGTAATGAACGTGTCAAAGAAATGTCAATAGAAAACAGGTAAAATGAAACGAAATTCAGCTAATTTGCAGTCTTTCCAGATTCAGTTTGAAGTGATTGTGTTAGCTGTTTTGTTCGCTGGCTCCTCTGAACAACAGTGTCCTGACAAGAGAGCACATTTTCTGTGCCAAGCGAAATCGCACATCATTAGCTCATTGTTATGGATGTATCCAAATAAATGTCACTAGAAAACAGCTTAAACAAACGCAAATGCAGCTACATTGCTGTTATTCTGTTTTCACTGTTTGACGTGACTGTAAGTTAGCCGTAGTTGGCTAGCAAGCAAGGGATAAGGACGTTGCCAGCCAGTATGGCAATGGAACATTTAGAAGAACGACTGGGTCACGTCCATAGATACAGCAACCGAACCGATAGAATGACCAGCCGGTATGAATAAATTCATCAAAATAATTATTTTTAATGAAAATACACCACCAGTCAAAAGTTTGGACACACCTACTCATTCAAGGGTTTTTCTTTATTTTTACTATTTTTTACATTATAGAATAATAGTGAAGATATCAAAACTATGATAATAATGATAATAATAATAATAATAATAATGATATGGAATCATGTAGTAATCAACAACGTGTTAAACAAATCAAAATATATTTTATATTTGAGATTCTTCAAATAGCCACCATTTGCCTTGATGACAGCTTTGCACACTCTTGACATTCTCTCAACCAGCTTCATGAAGTAGTCACCTGGAATGGATTTCAATTAACAGGTGTGCCTTCTTAAAAGTTAATTTGTGGAATTTCTTTCCTCCTTAATGCGTTTGAGCCAATCAATTGTGTTGTGACAAGGTAGGGGGGTATACAGAAGATAGCCCTATTTGGAAAAAGACCAAGTCCATATTATGGCAAGAACAGCTCAAATAAGCAAAGAGAATTGACAGTCCATCTTTACTTTAAGACATGAAGGTCAGTCAATACGGAAAATTTCAAGAACTTTTAAAGTTTCTTCAAGTGCAGTCGCAAAAACCATCAAGCGCTATGATGAAACTGGCTCTCATGAGGACCGCCACAGGAATGGAAGACCCATAGTTACCTCTGCTGCAGAGGATAAGTTAATTTGAGTTACCAGCCTCGGAAATTGCAGCCCAAATAAATTCTTCACAGAGTTCAAGTCACAGACACATCTCAACATCAACTGTTCAGAGGGGACTGTGTGAATCAGGCCTTCATGGTCGAATTGCTGCAAAGAAACCACTACTAAAGGACACCAATAATAAGAAGAGACCTGCTTGGGCCAAGAAACACGAGCAATGGACATTAGACTGGTGGAAATCTGTCCTTTGGTCTGATTAATCCAAATTTGAGATTTTTGGTTCCAACTGCTGTGTCTTTGTGAGATGCGGTGTGGGTGAACGGATGATCTCTGCATGTGTAGTTCCCACCGTAAAGCATGGAGGAGGAGGTGTTATGGTGTGGGGGTGCTTTGCTGGTGACACTGTCTGTGATTTATTTAGAATTCAAGGCACACTTAACCAGCATGGCTACCACAGCATTCTGCATTGATACGCCATCCCATCTGGTTTGGGCTTAGTGGGACTATCATTTGTTTTTTAACAGGACAATGACCCAATACACCTCCAGGCTGTGCAAGGGCCATTTTACCAAGAATGAGAGTGATGGAGTGCTGCATCAGATGACATGGCCTCCACAATCCCCCGACCTCAACCCAATTGAGATGGTTTGGGATGAGTCAGATGGCAGAGTGAAGGAAAAGCAGCCAACAAGTGCTCAGCATATGTGGGAACTCCTTTAAGACTGTTGGAAAAGCATTCCAGGTGAAGCTGGTTGAGAGAATGCCAAGAGTGTGCAAAGCTGTCATCAAGGCAAAGGGTGGCTATTTGAACAATCTCAAATATACAATATACTTTGATTTGTTTAACACTTTGTTGGTTACTACATGATTCCATATGTGTTATTTCATAGTTTTGATGTCTTCACTTTTATTCTACAATGTAGAAAATAGTAAAAATAAAGAAAAACCCTTGAATAATTAGGTGTGTCCAAACCTCGGACTGGTACTGTATGTCAATCATTATTTGAATATGTTGGTAGCCCGTTGCATAAAATAGATAATGCCCTTGAAGTCGGTGTTTGGAGGATATATTGGCATGGTTTGCCAGCCCGGGACGAACACCCGTGCCAATATATCCTCCAAACACCGGCTTCTCGGGCATTATCACTTAAATAGAACTCCCCCAAAGAAACTAATCAAGTCAGGGCTTAGTGGGCCTGGGCACATCAAGTTAAGACATTGCTAAAATTACTATTTTCAGAGTAAGTGCTGACCTCTGAAGAAATTCCATAGGCCACAGGTCATGCATTTTAGTCGACTATGTTACTCCCCACTGAACAATCCCTTGAATTATTAATGAGAAATAACTTAAATGTATAGATTATTTTAGTGAAGCATTATTTGCATTTCTCATACTGTAGTGTACAGTATCCCTCTTTGAAGGACAAAGTGTGTGACCTTTTATCAAGAGATTTGTCTTTTTAAAATGCATGCATGTTTGCTTTGGTTGAGATTAGATTAGATTTAATCTGTCTGTACAGTGATACACATTTCCAATCCAACCTAAGGGAAAAATGGTTAAGACCAAAATGGTTTACACTCTCCCCAGGGAGCCCAGTCAATTTAATGATGATTATGTCATTCTGATCAATTAAGGATTGGCCACACATTTCTGGTGACAGATGGTCAGAATTTTCTCCCCACAAAATCGTAAAGGTCCAATGCAGCCTTTTTTTAAATCTCAGTATCAAATCCTTTCTGGGTAACAATTAAGTACCTTTCTGTGATTGTTTTCAATGAAAATTGTCAAAAAGAAACAAAAATGGTTTCTTAGCAAAGAGCAATTTCTCAAGCAATAATTTTTCTAGGACTGTCTGGGAGTGGTCTGAGTGGGGAGGGGAAAACTGAAAATTTGCTGTTATTGGCAGAGAAGTTTGGAACTCTCTTTCTCATTGGTCGATTAACTAATTTACCATATATAAAACACAGGAAAATCACGTTTTGGACTGCACTGGGCCTTTAATAGAAATTCTCTACAGTTGTACACACTACACAACAGATGCCACATATCCTAATAATAATAGCTGATTCAGTGATTAGAGGGGAGATTGTGTTGGTTTTAAAAGACTCCAGTAGAGAGATATCTACAGAACAGTTCACAGGAACAGAGACATGGGCTGTGTTTACACAGGCATCCCAGTTCTGATTATTTTTCCACTAATTGGTCATTTGACCAATCAGATCAGCTCTTTGTGTAAATGCAGCCTTAGATCACAATGCTCCACCTTATTTTTCTGTTTCACATGGGTTATCCTTCCCTACACTGCACTGTCCTCAAGCCCAATTGATACATCACTGCACTTGAGTGTCTTGTGACTTGTTTGCAAAGGGAACCCAAGCTTTTTCATCTAATAGCTGCTTATTTTAAGTTGGGAAGAAATGATTCCTTTCATGCTATTGCATGCAGTGTTATGTGTCATCAGATTGGTTTATGCCATAACAGAATCATGTCTCATGAAATTTCGTTTTTAGATCTATTGCGAATGGTTATACATGTTTTCCTGACAAAGATTACCAAGAGCCCCTGCATCATCTTTTTCTACCAGTTAAATGTTTCCTATATATGGGTGCCATCAGGGAAATATGTGTTTTTGCGCCATATTGTTTCTGACTGCAACAGGCTGATAATATAATATAAAGTGTTAATATGATTGTGTGAGGCTCATCTTGTCCCTTTGCTTTTCCTACCGGCAGAGTGTCAACCAAAAGCAAGGCCCCGTCTCCCCCAGTATCAGTGAAGGGCCTGGATGGTGCAGGCCTCCCCCAGAGACACTCTGTATCAGCATTTCCTCTGATGACAATGGACCAGAAGGAGAACCTACTTGAACAGGACCTGACTCTGGTCGTGGTTCTGCCAGGCGGAGTGGAGAAGACGGCCACTGTCCATGGCAGGTGATACTAGGTCTTCATTCCCAAATGACACCCTATTCCCTACTTAGTGCCTGGGTCATTCCACCAATTAGTTGCCTTTTGAGTAGTGTAACTTTGATTTCACCTAATGTTTACATTCTGTCACATGTTCAACTTCATAAAAACATGTTTACCCATCTCAAGAGGTAAAAAAAAGACTATAGTAATTGCCTATTAAGTGCCAAATAAAGTAACAGGGTTGATGACTTCATAGTTTAAATCAGCTATAAATCCCCTCTTGACAGGGGGAATGGAAGCTTGTTGTGTGCAACAGGGAGGGGCAATTGAATGCAAGCTTCACAACAAAAAGAGTAGAACCAGCTCACCTGCTTTTACACTATGATTTGACTATTAAAATAATAATCTTCAGAAATTACTTTGTCAAAGCAACAAAAATAACTGCGGCTTTACAATGATGGTGAAAACTTGGAGACATGTTGGGGTTAAGTGGGTTAAAATATTAATTGAAGTCACAGAGGATGCTTAGAGGGACATGTCAAAATGCTGAATTTTGGCACTTTAGCAAGTCTTTATTCATTCCATGTGGTCTATATTAAAGGGCACTTCATTTAATATGACAGGCTTTTATAGTTCTATATTTGTGCACAATTTCTACTTAAAATATCAAAAGTCACTAATTTCGTGCCATGACCCGCCTATGGGCCCTGGTCAAAAGAAGTGCAGTAAATAAATAAAGGAAGTGTCCCACTGTGACTAAACACCAACAAACTGCTCCCAACTTTCCTTCCTTGGGAAGACCTCCAAGACATCCCATGATTCCAAGATGAAGCATGTTCTAAATGCATTTTGACCAATTCTTATGTGAGTGTAATATCTTCAAAAACAAATATTTCATTAATATTTTTGGTATATGATTACTGCAAATCCTTCTACCATAACGTGATCTTTCCAAGGCTCTAATGTAATGTAGCATTTCTCTGAGTCAGATATTGTAGGTGGTGCAGTAAAAGCTTTGGTTTTGGTTAACAGTTTTATAATGTTGCTGATTCCTTTTCACTTACTAATGTGGAATAATGTTATTTGTGTTTTAGGCACAGTTATTATGGTTGGATTTAGATTAATAAATGTAGGCTGTGTCATTTTGATGCAAGCCCACTGCACATACATTTTATGAAATGTAGTCTTATGAAGTCTGGACTGTGGAGCTCTCATCCACACCAATTCAGCCGAGACCAAAACGCCTAATCAGACAAACATGAGATGAATATCTTATAGTCAAAGGGCTTAGTTGTTTTTCGGAACAAGGACTTTGTGTCCTGATATGAAACTACAGACCCACACTGTTCACTCTCTATCACCAAAGTTTACTCAAGATATTATGATTCTATTTTTGCAAGACGCAAACGCACTCCGTTGCTATATTGTGCCCTTTGCCCTCTCAAGCTATAATCGAGACCAACTTTAATATAAAAGGATTAAGCACCAAATTCTTCAACCTCTTTTCTTTTACAGAGTACAGTGAACTAATTATGATAAGGATGAAACTTTTGGCATTATATTTCCAGAAACCCTCACAAGGCCTGGAATATGGAAACTGCTGGATAGCTTTGTGTGGATGCTGTTGCTCTCCAGACCACCAACAGTTGTGTATGAAGCACAAACTGATGGCTCGTTATGCTACATTTTATCACTGTGAAAAAGTTGTGTGATAATGCATTACTAGAACATCAAGTGTAAAAAGTATTCTGTGATCTACTTTCGTGATAGTAGTTTCTCCTTGGCATTTGCAATTTCCACACACCAAAAGTTATGTGTTTTCTTTGTGGATATAAAACACACAACCTTTTGTCCTTAGCTAGGTTGATTATTGCTTCTAACCTGTGTTTTTCAGCAAGCCCATGATGGATTTGTTAGTGATGCTTTGTGCCAAGTACCACCTGAACCCATCAGGCTACATTATAGAGCTCGTCACCACCAACAGAAACCCCATCAAGTTCAAGCCCAATACTCTGATCGGGGCCCTGGAGGCAGAGAAGGTTCTGCTCAAGCCCAAAGGAATGGAGGACAAGATTAAGAAGCCAATTCCTCAGATGCCAGAGGTACACTTGAGAAATCTCAGTGGTAGAAATGTACTACTAGTTATAAAAGTTTATCTGAGAGTTGTTCCCTCAACTTGGGTATTTACTGTAATTAATAATGGGTGTATCTTGTAATGTATTTTTTCTGTGAGTATAGATCAAATAATATATATATATATATACACTACCAGTTAAAAGTTTGGACACACCTACTCATTCAAGGGTTTTTCTTTATTTTTACTATTTTTTACATTGTAGAATAATAGTGAAGACATCAAAACTATGAAATAACACATATGGAATCATGTAGTAACCAAAAAAGTGTTTAAACAAATCAAAATATATTTTATATTTGAGATTCTTCAAATAGCCACCCTTTGCCTTGATGACAGTTTTGCAAACTCTTGGCATTCTCTCAACCAGCTTCATGAGGTAGTCACCTGGAATGCATTTCAATTAACAGGTGTGCCTTCTTAAAAGTTAATTTGTGGAATTTCTTTCCTTCTTAGTGCATTTGAGCCAATCAGTTGTGTTGTGACAGAAAATAGCCCTATTTGGTAAAAGACCAAGTCCATATTATGGCAAGAACAGCTCAAATAAGAAAAGAGAAACGACAGTCTTTCATTACTTTAAAAACGTTGAAAGTTTCTTCAAGTGCAGTCGCAAAAACCATCAAGCGCTATGATGAAACGGAATCTCATGAGGACTGCCAAGTTCTCTCATGTCACCCCATTCCTCCGCACACTCTACTGGATTCCAGTTGAAGCTCGCATCTACTACAAAACCATGGTGCTTGCCTACGGAGCTGTGAGGGGAACAGCACCTCCTTACCTTCAGGCTCTGATCAGACCCTACACCCAAACGAGGGCACTACGTTCATCCACCTCTGGCCTGCTAGCCCCCCTACCTCTACGGAAGCACAGTTCCCGCTCAGCCCAGTCAAAGCTATTCGCTGCTCTGGCACCCCAATGGTGGAACAAGCTCCCCCACGACGCCCCATAAAAATAGCCAATCAATTGTGTTGTGACAAGGTAGGGGGGTATACAGAAGATAGCCCTATTTGGAAAAAGACCAAGTCCATATTATGGCAAGAACAGCTCAAATAAGCAAAGAGAATCGACAGTCCATCTTTACTTTAAGACATGGTCAGTCAATACGGAAAATTTCAAGAACTTTTAAAGTTTCTTCAAGTGCAGTCGCAAAAACCATCAAGCGCTATGATGAAACTGGCTCTCATGAGGACCGCCACAGGAATGGAAGACCCATAGTTACCTCTGCTGCAGAGGATAAGTTATTTCGAGTTACCAGCCTCGGAAATTGCAGCCCAAATAAATGCTTCACAGAGTTCAAGTCACAGACACATCTCAACATCAACTGTTCAGAGGGGACTGTGTGAATCAGGCCTTCATGGTCGAATTGCTCCAAGTTGGAGATTTTTGGTTCCAACCACTGTGTCTTTGTGAGACGCGGTGTGGGTGAACGGATGATCTCCGCATGTGTAGTTCCCACCGTAAAGCATGGAGGAGGAGGTGTTAGGGTGTGGGGGTGCTTTGCTGGTGACACTGTCAGTGATTTATTTAGAATTCAAGGCACACTTAACCAGCATGGCTACCACAGCATTCAGCATTGATACGCCATCCCATCTGGTTTGGGCTTAGTGGGACTATAATTTGTTTTTTAACAGGACAATGACCCAACACACCTCCAGGCTGTGCAAGGGCCATTTTACCAAGAATGAGAGTGATGGAGTGCTGCATCAGATGACATGGCCTCCACAATCCCCCGACCTCAACCCAATTGAGATGGTTTGGGATGAGTCAGATGGCAGAGTGAAGGAAAAGCAGCCAACAAGTGCTCAGCATATGTGGGAACTCCTTTAAGACTGTTGGAAAAGCATTCCAGGTGAAGCTGGTTGAGAGAATGCCAAGAGTGTGCAAAGCTGTCATCAAGGCAAAGGGTGGCTATTTGAAGAAACTCAAATATACAATATACTTTGATTTGTTTAACACTTTGTTGGTTACTACATGATTCCATATGTGTTATTTCATAGTTTTGATGTCTTCACTATTATTCTCCAATGTAGAAAATAGTAAAAATAAAGAAAAACCCTTGAATGAGTAGGTGTGTCCAAACCTTTGACTGGTACTGTATATTATAACTTGTTCTAATATTTTTTAATGAGGATAGTCATGAGGTCTGATAATCTAATTTCTATGATTCTCCAGGCAACCGTCCGTCTGGTAATAAACTATAAAAAGACCCAGAAGACTATACTAAGAGTCAGCCCTCGAGTCCCCCTTGAAGACCTCTTACCAGCTATTTGTGAGAAATGTGAATTTGACCGACAGAGCACACTTTTATTGAGAGATGCCCAATCTAAGGATCCTTTGGATTTGACATGTTCTCTCAATGATTTTGCAATAAGGGAGGTTTATGCAAGGGACACAAAAGGTAAGGGCTTCTCTGATTAAAAACAACAGCCTTCATTAATCGGAATAATTACCATTCATTTTGAACCAATCTCGGCACACAGAACCAAATATTGTGTTGTCTGTCAACAAGATACTTATTCTGTATGAACACTATTCACCATTCATTCATTTTACAACTACGCAGGTGTGCTCATTTAAATGCTGCATTTACTACTGCATATCATTTCCATCTTCTCTTTCACAGCTATGTACTCAGAAGACGTACCTGCCTCTCCTACCACCCCTACTACACCAACTCATCTAGGTCATCTAGGTAATGAACACAATTGTATTATGTTTTTACATTAGTTTTATTACCTTATTTTAATTTACTACTGATATTATGCATTTGAAGTCAAGTTCATCAATCCTTTGTCAGGAATTTCAGAAACGTCTTCAATAAGATCTATATATTCCTAACAGATACCATTCCACCCAGTAAAGATAAAACCCAGAAGGAGAAAGAAAACAAGGGCTTGTTCAGTCTATTCAGGAGGAGTAAGAAGAAACCTGAGCAGGTGTGTTCTATATCTATTCACATGCAATCACCAATATTTCTCATCTCAGTAATTTACAGGTCAATTTTGGCTGATGAGGAGGATTTGAAAGGGTGTGTGTTGGAGCGGGGAGGGGGGGATAATGTCACAGTCATGTGATTGACTAGTTTTCTCTTTGCTTACTGCAGAGAACAGGCCCCTGATCAGGATCTGATTGGATGTTTGTTTGCTCTTTTAAAGGGAATGACTGCCAGTGCCCCGGCATCCCCTGTCTTCCCCAGCAAGCCTCGACCTCTTAGCATGAGCTCGCTCAGTGCCCACTCCTCCACATTCAACTGCAGCTCCATGGCTTCTGACATGCCAAAGAAGAGACGGGCTCCCCTGCCCCCAATGCTGGTGTCCCAGAGCTTCCCCTCTAACCTCAGCCATCGCCAGAGGTCCATCTCCGCCTCAGAGCCCGAAGCCCAAAAGGACAGTGACCAGGTGAGTGGGTCTAACCTGACTAGATCTGTGTTCTCTGTCTTTACCAGGTCTGTCTGTAAAATACGGTTATTAGTGTCCGCGGTCTAAATGCTGAGACTGAATTTCCCCAAAATTTCCCAGACTTTATATCCAGAGCTCTTGATGAATTGTAATGATTATTTTGTCTCTTCTGTTGTGGAGATGGCTGGTCTGAGTCGCAGCACAGAGTCTTCCCTGAAGAGGATGAAGCGCAAGGCTCCACCACCCCCCGCATCTCCCAGTGTGGTTGTCCAAGATGAAGCTTCGCTAGATGGAGGTATGAAAGGTTTTAAATGGATTTAATCCTACTGTATTGAATTGTCTTGTGCTCAACTTCCTGTATATAGGTTTCAATGTTTTCAGATACTATTTTTTACATGAGGGGGTCACTTGAGTCTATAGCAACTAGATTCAGCCGCAGGCTGATTCTTTTCTTGAGCGGATGGTCAGGGAGCTGGAACATAATTACAAATAATTTGTGGACTACAAATTGACTGCAAGAAGCCCAAACAGATATAATATTTGACTAAAACATTGTCATTTCAAAACTTGCTTGCATTTGTATACAATCACATATATCTCTCTATTATGCATGGGAATACTTTGGAAATTAAAATCACTTGGAACTAATTTGCTGTTGTTCTTACGGTCCTTTATGTCCAATGTCTTTCTTTCTTTTTTTTTTACACATTTTGGCCAATTGGGGAACCCTGGCTATCTTTCAACTGTAATTTAGTTTACATTTTTCTCCTGGTTTGAGAGACATTGCTATTATTGCATTTCTGGACTATATGGCAGAGATTTTGACAATTGTACTTTGGTCTCTAAAGTCAACAATTGATAATAGTAAATATGACCAATGACTAAATTTGGTCCGCTGTAGCTCAATTGGTAGAGCATGGCGATTGTAACGCCAGGGTAGTGGGTTCGATCCCCGGGACCACCCATACGTAAAAATGTATGCGCACATGACTGTAAGTCGCATTGGATAAAAGCGTCTGCTAAATGGCATATTATTATTATGATTGGTCAGTGGGAGTTGCACTCATTTTATTTGGCTCTGATGCCTCCTAGTGGTCATTGAGACACATTGAGTTAGTTACAGCTTCTATTCTCGTGATTGAATTTCATTCACAAAGAACACCTAGCTACAGTTGTTGTGACTACAGTACTTCTTTACAATTTTATTAGATCTTAATAATAAATATTATGGTCAAATTAGTTGTGTTTTTAGTGCCATATCTTTGTTTGCTTATTCTGAAGTTTAATTTAATTTACAATGCTTGGTAGATACAAGTCTGAGGGATAAGGTCAACATAGTTGTGATCCAATGGGACATGTACTGTGATATAGTCATTGCATTCTTATGTTTTTCTTCATATTAAGGGTAAATGTTCTATAAGTAGTTCCTATCTCTAAACTTGCAGCCTGTGAGTCACCAGAGGAGGGTGTCTGAGAGAGAGTCTGTGCTGCTGCAGCTTCCTGCTGTTTCTACCCACTCTGCACTCTGCTGCCTCTTTCAGCTCCTCCTCAAGCATGTCCACTTCTTCCTGCACTGACCTGCTGCTTTTACTCCTCACGCTTTCTGTCTGTTAGATGAACATGTTCTATTCTGTTTGTTTTCTTGCTGCATGTTTACACCTTCCTGCGTGAGTTTTCATAGACTTCTCTTTCAATACACTTCAATATAATCAAATAAAAAAAGACTATCTGCTATTGATTGAATACCGGCCTTTGGTTATATCTGTTATTTGTGACTGACTTGGCTTAGATTCGATTGTATGTTTTCTGTGAGAGAGGAGTGATCTTGAATGATCTATCATGACAGTAAGTACAGTGGCTTGCGAAAGTATTCACCCCCCCCCTTGGCATTTTTCCTATTTTGTTGCCTTACAACCTGGAATTAAAATGGATTTTTTGTGGGTTTGTTTCATTTGATTTACACAACATGCCTACCACTTTGAAGATGCAAAATATTTTTTATTGTGAAACAAACAAGAATTGAGACAAAAAAACAGAAAACCTGAGCGTGCATAACTAATCAACCCCCCCCCCCCAAAGTCAATTTTGCAGCAATTACAGCTGCAAGTCTCTTGGGGTATGTCTCTATAAGCTTGGCACATCTAGCCACTGGGATTTTTGCCCATTCAGCTCCTTCAAGTTGGATGGGTTCTGCTGGTGTACAGCTATCTTTAAGTCATTCCACATATTCTCAATTGGATTGAGGTCTCGGCTTTGACTAGGCCATTCCAAGACATTTCAATGTTTCCCCTTAAACCACTCAAGTGTTGCTTTAGCAGTATGCTTAGGGTCATTGTCCTGCTGGAAGGTGAACCTCTGTCCCAGTCTCAAATCTCTGGAAGACTGAAACAGGTTTCCCTCAAGAATTTCCCTGTATTTAGCGCCATCCATCAATCCTTCAATTCTGACCAGTTTCCCAGTCCCTGCCGATGAAAAACATCCCCACAGCATGATGCTGCCACCACCATGCTTCACTGTGGGGATGGTGTTCTCGGGGTGATGAGAGGTGTTGGGTTTGCGCCAGACATAGCGTTTTCCTTGATGGCCAAAAAGCTCAGTTTTAGTCTCATCTGACCAAAGTACCTTCTTCCATATGTTTGGGGAGTCTCCCACATTCCTTTTGGCGAACACCAAACGTGTTTGCTTATTTTTTTCTTTAAGCAATAGCTTTTTTCTGCCCACTCTTCTGTAAAGCCCAGCTCTGTGGAGTGTATGGCTTAAAGTGGCCCTATGGACAGATACTCCAATCTCCACTGTGGAGTTTTGCAGCTCCTTCAGGGTTCTCTTTGGTCTCTTTGTTGCCTCTCTGATTAATACCCTCTTTGCCTGGTCCGTGAGTTTTGGTGGGCGGCCCTCTCTTGGCAGGTTTGTTGTGGTGCCATATTCTTTCAATTTTTTAAATAATGTATTTAATGGTGCTCCGTGGGATGTTCAACGTTTCTGATATTTGTTTATAACCCAACCCTGATCTGTACTTCTCCACAACTTTGTCCCTGACCTGTTTGGAGAGCTCCTTGGTCTTCATGGTGCCGCTTGCTTGGTGGTGCCCCTTGCTTAGTGGTGTTGCAGACTCTGGGGCCTTTCAGAGCAGGTGTGTGTGAATATATATTGAGATCATGTGGTACTTTGATTGCACACAGGTGGACTTTATTTAACTAATTATGTGACTTCTGAAGGTAATTGGTTGCACCAGATCTTATTTAGGGGCTTCATAGCAAAGGGAGTGAATACATATGCACGCACCACTTTTCCGTTATTTATTTTGTATAATTTTATGAAACAAATTATTTTTTAAATTTCACTTCACCAATTTGGACTATTTTGTGTGTGTCCATTAAATGAAATCCAAATAAAAATCCATTTAAATTACAGGTTGTAATGCAACAAAATAGGAAAGACGCCAAGGGGGATGAATACTTTTGCAAGGCACTATACATTCTAATCTGATAATTCAATCTACAGCATACACTCCCAGTCGTTCACCTACAGTAGTATATAGGTCCTATACAGACAGTCCTGAGAGACTTAATTCCATCTAGGCATAATCCTCTTTTTCTTTTTCTGAATCGTGTTTTTTTTTCAAACTGCTTTTTTGCTACTTGTTTCCATTCTGTTCCTGTCTTCTGTAACATATTTCATGTTGTTGTCAGACATAAGTGAGTGTATTTCATAGAAACTTCATTTGTAAGTTCAGTATTTGAATACCACACTAGCCATTTCTCCCAGATCGTATGAATTAAAAAGTGTCCTCATAAAGATTTGACTCCTCCATGCTTGTATTGCTCCATTTTCCATCTGCCCTCCCTCCCTCGCTGACTTCACATAATCAACTTCACAGAGAAAGATCAGGCCCAGATTCTGGATGTCTCTCTCAGTACCCCTCCCTGTTCACTTTAGTTAGACATCACAGGCTGCACAGTGAGGAGTCTCAGTTTTGTATAACCAGCCTGCTGAATATTCCTTCTGCTCTCTATTCCTCTGTGGCGGCCTTGAAGTGCAGAGTGGAGAACTAGAGGGGAATATGAGATGCTAGATGTCTTCATTAAGCCCAATTCACTTGTCTGAAATATCCCTAAGACACAAATGTTATGTTTGTTGTTGTGTGACTGTGAAAGTGATGTTATTAATACTAAATCATCTTTCTATCAGTTTTTATAACATGCTGCTTCGTTCTGAAGTAAAGGAGTACTCATTTTCTTATTTGCAGAATTAACTTATTCTCTAAATGAGTCTCTTTTAAATTGAAAGTCTGTTGACATCATGGCTAGAGACAACATTCTCCTCCCCATCACAACACTGTTACTCATCATCACACTGCAGTTCTACTGCAGTTCTTCATCCCAACTTAGATGAGACATTGCTGATTTTGTTACCTCAATTTGTTACCTCTGTCATCTTCTCCATCCTGTTGTGCTGCAGGTGGTCAACTTCCTAATACACTGGAAGAGATCGTGGAGCAGGAGGAGACAACTGCCTCCGTGGTCCTAGACTCTATGAGTGATGTCCAGGAGGATGACAGCAGCCTCAACCTGTCAACAGTAGACATCTCCGTGGACTCTGAGAGAACAGAGGCCCTCTCTCCACCCCTGGAGGCCCCCGACACCCCGTACGCTGAGACTGAGACCTCTTCACCGCCCGAGAGCGAGGGCCCAGCAGGGGAAGATCAGGCTTGTGATCTGTCCTCAGATGGCAAGTACGAATTCTAGCAGAGAGTCCTACACTTTCCAAAAGGGTTCTTCTGCTGTCCCCATAGGATAACCCTTTTTGGTTCCAGGTAGAACCCTTTTGGTTCCAGGTAGAACCTTTTTGGGTTCTATGTAGAGTTCTACCTGGAACCAAAAAGTGTTCTTCAAAAGGTTATATGGGGACAGCCGAAGAACCCTTTTAGGTTCTAGATATCACCTTTTTTTCTAAGAGTGTACAGTATGAATGAAGTAGTGCCTCTTTGACTTGGGTTTTTGCATTGCTTTTCATAACTCCTGTTTTTGACAGACTAGTGCACAGTATGGTGAACAACACTGAGTGTACGGAGCCCATGCTGATTGCTGCAGATGGTAGGTTTGCAAGTAGCGATTAATTCAAATATACTGAACATAAATATAAATGCAATGTGCAACAATTTCAAAGATTTTACTGAGATACAGTTCATATAAGGAAATCAGTCAATTTAAATAAGTTCATTAGGCCCTAATCTATGGATTTCACATGACAGGGCAGGGGTGCAGCCATGGGTGGGCCTGGGAGCGCATAGGCCCACCCACTGGGGAGCCAGGCCCAGCCAATCAGCCCCCCCCCCCCCCCATGACGTACTGCCAAATTCTCTAAAACCATATTGGTGGTAGCTTATGGTAGAGAAATGAACATTCAATTATCTGGCAACAGCTCTGGTGGACATTCCTGCAGTCAGCATGACAATTGCATGTTCCCTCAAAACTTGAAGCATCTGTGGCATTGTGTTGTGTGACAAACTGCACATTTTAGAGTGGCCTTTTATTGTCCCCAGCACAAGGTGCACCTGTGTAATTATCATGCTGTTTAATCAGCTTCTTGATATGCCACACCTGTCAGGTGGATGGATTATCTTGGCAAAGGAGAAATGCTCACTAATAGGGATGTAAACAAATTTATGCACAACATTTGAGAGAAATAAGCTTTTTGTGCGTATGGAACATTTCGGGGATTCTTTTCTTTCAGCTCATGAAACATGGGACCAACACTTTACATGTTGCGTTTATATTTTTGTTCAATGTACATCAAGTTCCTAATGCGTTAACTATGGATGCAATGCTATAGCTTTAGTAGCAATGTTGGCAAGATTGTCTACTTTGTACTAAATCATATATGTTTTTTATGATCTCCAGAAAGCCCTCCATGCCAAGCTGAGGAAATAAGTGGTCAGACAGACTTGCCATGTAAAGATTACACAACACAAGATGGGGTCAAAGGTGAATGTAGTACTGAGAGCTCTCCTACTATCAGCCCACCCGCAGCCAAGCCTGTGAAACAGAGCACAGGAACACAGGCCTCAGATCAGCTGGACACTGACCCCTCCTATAATGAACGGCCAGTGGCCACAAGCACCCCCTGTCCCCCTGCTGAGGATGCCCAGGTCCAGACCGATCTCACACCACCATGTCCTGTGTCACCACCCCAACAACAGGAAGTGCCTCCCCCTGCTAAAGCCTCTACCTCTGGAGCGGTGGGGCTGAAGAAGGACATGGCCACATCCACAGAGGAGCTGCTGATCCCTGCTGACCCCATCACACCTGCCTTATCTCCTGCCTCAGCAGTCCCTCAGTGCCAAACGTCCGCTCAAAGTGCCCCGGCCCCTCTGAAGCCATCCAATGAGCTGACCAGGGACTACATCCCCAAGGTGGGGATGACTACGTACACTATCATGCCTCACAAGTGTTTGGAGAAACGGAGATACTTTGAGGTGGAGCTGATGTTGGAATCCCCCGACGTGGCTCTCGAGAAGGAAGTAGGTTCACTTGAACTCAAAGACTGCACTACACAGGCTGAGCAGTTAAAGGTCACAGCAGAACAGACAGAGCTGCAGTCAATTGTACCTAAGGAAAACTCTCAATCTCAGCAAGTCGGCAGCACTACTACTACTACTACTACTACTACTACTACTACTACTAGTAGTAGTAAGAGCACTGTAAATGGCAATGTGGTTGGGCCTATTCACTCCCCCTCAACACCAACAACGATACTTCCTGCAGGAGATGACAAGATTCCATCCCCCTCTAGTGGGGGAGACAAAGCAGGCTCAATAGCAGAGGTCAAGGAGATGAAAATTCCACCCGTAACTAAACCCAAGCCTGGCTCTTTCCGCTTGCCACAGCACAAAAGAACACCTGGGTATTATGTAACCTCGGCGGCAGTGAAAAGTTTGAGTGCCAATCCTGGCGCTGGCCAGAGGGAGGCTCCAGGCAGTCTAGTGGCAGCAGTAGCAGCAGCGCAGGCCCTGCAGCCAGTGGAGGAGGGCAGCTTCCCCCCTCCTCCTCCTCCGGTTCAGTGGGACGAGGAGACATCAGAGGGCGCTGATGTAGTTGACGTGGAGCCGAGTGTGCCATCTCCACGGCCCAGTCCCGCCAGGGCGCCCCCATCCCCAGTGCTGAACCTGGAGAAACGGAGGAGTTTTGCTGCTCCCAAACCCTACTCTCCTACGACCCTGTCCCGTTTTGCCCAGGCTGTAACCTCAGCGGTCAAAAGGTCCCAGTCCTTATCCACTGGCTCCACCTCACCCTCTCCTCGCTCGCCACCATTCTACCCAATCACAAGCCGCTTTTTAGTCAATGATCCTAAAGGACCATGTAGGGCTATGGTGAGTTGTTGCAGATGTTTTTTGTTATGTGCTTTCTCTATATGAGACTCTGTATTTTCTATATTAGAACATACAGTAGGAATCTGGACATTTATATTCACAGTTCTCTACACTCTGAAATTACATTAAACCCAAAGAGTTGCTTTTTCCTTCAAATGTGATGCTTAAATTATAATTTATTTGATACTTGTATTAAAGTTCAAAGCATATGCCTACTTAAAAAAATTATTTGCAGTAGAATCTCATTGTTTCTAGTATATTTAAAAGTGATGCATGTTTCACCGTCAGTGCTATCTCTTTAACCATTAGACTACCCTCAGATGAACTCTCCAGTCTGCTGTTTTCCCATGTCCTTTAGGGTCAGCTTTGAGACTGTTGAATAACACAGGAAATGGGAGATGTACTCCTCTCTGAGAATGTACAGTTGAAGTCGGAAGTTTACATACACTTAGGTTGGAGTCATTAAAACTCATTTTTCAACCACTCCACAAATTTCTTGTTAACAAACTATAGTTTTGGCAAGTCGGTTAGGACATCTACTTTGTGCATGACACAAGTAATTTTTCCAACAATTGTTTACAGACAGATAATTTCACTTATAATTCACTGTATCACAATTCCAGTGGGTCAGAAGTTCACATACACTAAGTTGACTGTGCCTTTAAACAATTCCACAAAATGATGTCATGGCTTTAGAAGCTTCTGATAGGCTAATTGACATAATTTGAGTCAATTGGAGGTGTATTTCAAGGCCTACCTTCAAACTCAGTGCCTCTTTGCTTGACATCATGGGAAAATCAAATGAAATCAGCCAAGACCTCAAAAAAAACAAATGTAGACCTCTTCAAGTCTGGTTCATCCTTGGGAGCAATTTCCAAACGCCTGAAGGTACCACGTTCACCTGTACAAACAATAGTATGCAAGTATAAACACCATGAGACCACACAGCCGTCATACCACTCCTAGAGATGAACGTACTTTGGTGCGAAAAGTGCAAATCAATCCCAGAACAACAGCAAAGGACCTTGTGAAGATGCTGGAGGAAACAGGTACAAAAGTATCTATATCCACAGTAAAACAAGTCCTATATCGACATAACCTTAAAGGCCGCTCAGCAAGGAAGAAGCCACTGCTCCAAAACCACCATAAAAAAGCCAGACTACGGTTTGCAACTGCACATGGGGACAAAAATCGTACTTTTTGGAGAAATGTCCTCTGGTCTGATGAAACAAAAAAAGAACTGTTTGGCCATAATGACCATTGTTATGTTTGGAGGAAAAAGGGGGCCCTTGCAAGCCGAAGAACACCATCCCAATCGTGAAGCACGAGGGTGGCAGCATCATGCTGTGGGGGTGCTTTGCTGCAGGAGGGACTGGTGCACTTCACAAAATAGATGGCATCATGAGGAAGGAAAATTATGTGGATATATTGAAGCAACATCTCAAGACATCAGTCAGGAGGTTATAGCTTGGTCGCAAATGGGTCTTCCAAATGGACAATGACCCCAAGCATACTTCCAAAGTTGTGGCAAAATGGCTTAAGGACAACAAAGTCAAGGTATTGGAGTGGCCATCACAAAGCCCTGACCTCAATCCTATAGAAAAGTTGTGGGCAGAACTGAAAAAGCGTTTGTGAGCAAGGAGGCCTACAAAACTGACTCAGTTACAGTGAGGGAAAAAAAGTATTTGATCCCCTGCTGATTTTGTACGTTTGCCCACTGACAAAGACATGATCAGTCTATAATTGTAATGGTAGGTTTATTTGAACAGTGAGAGACAGAATAACAACAAAAAAATCCTAAAAAATGCATGTCAAAAATGTTTTATAAATTGATTAGCATTTTAATGAGGGAAATAAGTATTTGACCCCTCTGCAAAACATGATTTAGTACTTGGTGGCAAAACCCTTGTTGGCAATCACAGAGGTCAGACGTTTCTTGTAGTTGGCCACCAGGTTTGCACACATCTCAGGAGGGATCCTGTTCCACTCCTCTTTGCAGATCTTCTCCAAGTCATTACGATTTTGAGCCTGACGTTTGGCAACTCGAACCTTCAGCTCCCTCCACAGATTTTCTATGGGATTAAGGTCTGGAGACTGGCTAGGCCACTCCAGGACCTTAATGTGCTTCTTCTTGAGCCACTCCTTTGTTGCCTTGGCCGTGTGTTTTGGGTCATTGTCATGCTGGAATACCCATCCACAACCCATTTTCAATGCCCTGGCTGAGGGAAGGAGGTTCTCACCCAAGATTCTATGGTACATGGCCCCGTCCATCGTCCCTTTGATGCGGTGAAGTTGTCCTATCCCCTTAGCAGAAAAACACCCCCAAAGCATAATGTTTCCACCTCCATGTTTGACGGTGGGGATGGTGTTCTTGGGGTTCTTTCCTCCTCCTCCAAACAAGGCGAGTTGAGTTGATGCCAAAGAGCTCGATTTTGGTCTGATCTGACCACAATACTTTCACCCAGTTCTCCTCTGAATCATTCAGATGTTCATTGGCAAACTTCAGACGGGCCTGTATATGTGCTTTGCTTTCTTAAGCAGGGGGACCTTGCGAGCGCTGCAGGATTTCAGTCCTTCACGGCGTAGTGTGTTACCAATTGTTTTCTTGGTGACTATGGTCCCAGCTGCCTTGAGATCATTGACAAGATCCTCCCGTGTAGTTCTGGGCTGATTCCTCACCGTTCTCATGATCATTGCAACTCCATGAGGTGAGATCTTGCATGGAGCCCCAGGCCGAGGGAGATTGACAGTTATTTTGTGTTTCTTCCATTTGCGAATAATCGCACCAACTGTTGTCACCTTCTCACCAAGCTGCTTTTCGATGGTCTTGTAGCCCATTACAGCCTTGTGTAGGTCTACAATCTTGTCCCTGACATCCTTGGAGAGCTCTTTGGTCTTGGCCATGGTGGAGAGTTTGGAATCTGATTGATTGATTTGCTTCTGTGGACAGGTGTCTTTCATACAGGTAACAAACTGAGATTAGGAGCACTCCCTTTAAGAGTGTGCTCCTAATCTCAGCTCGTTACCTGTATAAAAGACACCTGGGAGCCAGAAATCTTTCTGATTGAGAGGGGGTCAAATACTTATTTCCCTCTTTAAAATGCAAATCAATTTATAACATTTATGACATGCGTTTTTCGGGATTTTTTTGTTGTTATTCTGTCTCTCACTGTTCAAATAAACATACCATTAAAATTATAGACTGATAATTTATTTGTTAGTGGGCAAACGTACAAAATCAGCAGGGGATCAAATACTTTTTTCCCTCAGTGTACACCAGCTCTGTCAGGAGGAATGGGCCAAAATTCACCCAACTTATTGTGGGAAGCTTGTGGAAGGCTACCCGAAACAATTTAAAGGCAATGCTACCAAATACTAATTGAGTGTATGTAAACTTCTGACCCACTGGGAATGTAATGAAAGAAATAAAAGCTGAAATAAATAATTCTCTCTACTATTATTCTGACATTTCACATTCTTAAAATAAAGTGCTGATCCTAACTGACCTAAGACAGGACTTTTTACTAGGATTAAATGTCAGGAATTGTGAAAAATGTAGTTTAAATGTATTTGGCGAAAGTGTATGTAAACTTCCGACTTCAACTGTATATACAATTTTCTCACAATGGTAATGGAACAGTCAACAATAAACTTTTGTTCCGAGTGTGTGGTTTGTGGCCTGGTAAACAATCCTAGCTGCTTATCCCACCTCTTAGACACCTTGACCTGTGACACCGTCCCCTCCCTGAGAGACTGGGCCGGTGTGCCTGCGTGTCATTGATGTGCTGGTCCCTGTGATCCAGTGGGGAACACTTTTTATCTCCTTGTTAATAGCCTGAGCACACGTGTTTTACCATAGTTATTCCTAAAGGACTCTCTGTAGTAGGCCTACATTCGTGTTGTACAGGTAGTTGGCGTATATAAAGCAGGTACAACAGTGTCTTCTTTCCAGTTTCCTCAAAGTGTTGAATGGCACTCTCAGTCCTGTGTCTTGAATGATGGTGTGCATTGTGTCTTCTCTGCTGAGCACAGGGAAGTGACAATGGAGAGGGGGAGGAGAACAAAGGCTTGGAGCTCCAGGGAGGGGGGGACCTGAGCGGTGGCCCAGTCAGTGACAACATGACTGTTCAGATGGCAGGCCAGAGTGACCCTGAGCAGCGCCTCAGTGTGTGTGGAGAGGAGCTGAGCAGTAACGGATCAACAGAGACATCTACAGTAAGCACTAGACTATACAATAACATGGTGTTACAACATGATGTTAAGTGGGGCTGCGACAGTGTTACATTCACGTACTCTGAGTGTCTATATAATGTATGTATAATTGCATTGTTAAGTTTCAAGTTCCCTCTTTTGTCTTTTTAGGAGCCTGATGGCCTGTCCTGGAGTCTGTTCGAGCATGAGCCCAGGAAAGAGGAATAGAAACTTTATTTGATAGTCTTACGACCTCTGTTGCTAGTTTTAACAACAACCTACAAACTGTAGAAGAGACTACTTTTCTGTTTTGTTACGACAGAAATTACTGTAAGTAGATGTTCTCCACATATCATTTGGATGTTATGAAATAATTGTATATGTATTATTATTCACGATTTGTATTTCAAATTTGATGCATATTGTACTTTTCACATCATATTTTGTCCAAAAAAATTATATTATTAGTTTCAATATTGAGTTGTAATTGTCATCGAGAAAATACAGTAGCCTATTTAGTACTGTATATAATTTTGAAGAGGTCAATTTGACTGACCTGAAAGTGGTACATATAAATCCCTCAGTCCATTTTGTATTTTGTGTTACTCATTTGATTTTGATAAAGCTGTGCCCAGACATACACTGGTATGTAGAGTATTTCTCTGAACATATAATGCTGTTATGAATAAAGGTTACTGTTTCCTACATTCACAGTATATTAAAGTATTATATTGACAATCCAAGAGTGTTTCTCACTGAACATTTTGAATATAATGTAATGACCCGGGCTGGTTCATAAAGGAAAAGGAGACGGACACCAGGTGTGCAGGGCAGAACACAGGTTTATTCCTAAACTGGGCTATTGTTCAGGCCACAGCCCACGCCGCTAAATTCCGAACGTACACAAATACACAATGTAAAGTTAAGTGGCAGACTCATAGGAGCAGATCAAGATCCCGAATCGAAAAGGGAGAGCGAGATGAAACAGTAGCCCCTATTTATGCATTTCAAAACTCTGCGGGATTACCCATCATACCCCCCAACCTTTCCGTCTGTCCTGGCATATTTAACCCCTGCTAGCACCCATGAACACAGAACACAATACCGGGTCGTTCCAATAAATTAAACACTGAATTGCAACACAATCAGATACAGTAGACAATGTTATTAGCAGTAAAAATGTCCAGTAATTGAAATGCAGTTCATAACATACAACTCACAATCCCATCACAATTAAACAGGACAAAACAACATATAACGTAACATATATCATACTAAATGGAGTGAAGCAAAGAAACGTTCCAGATTATACGAATTGCCTTGCAGGCCAGGTTGCACAAAAAGTAAGCAAGTGTAACTTGATACTTCTCTACAAGCTTGAAACCTTTTCAGGCAGGATCTCAGAGTCCTATTTCAGGTAAAATGTGAGGGTTGTGTATGACGTAATGCATGAGTAAATATAAACACCTGTCTAGGGAGAGCGCGTGGACTAGATGAGCACACCACACACACCTAAAGGACAGCGATGAAGACGAGCGAGGAAGCAATATGCAGTAACGGTACCATTTCAGTGAGCAGCAGGTAGGATATGTTACAATAAACCATTTTTAGGGAACACTTCCGTACGCTAATTGTAGGATTTGGACAGATAAAGACTATAGCTAGCCTACTGTGTAAATATGTTCATGTCGAGATGGTTACTTTGTGTCCTCGACCTATACATAGCGTTTTTTTGGCCTTATGGAATGTCCTTCTATTATGTTGACTGAATCTTCAGACAGTCGATATCTGTGCCAGCAAAGGTAAAACACGTGCAGCCTACCTGTCTTGTCTATGTCGTTGAGGTTGAAGTGAAATAATGTAGCCGACCCTGTTGCATCTTCAAATGTGAATTGGAAAGTTATGCAAAACGATAACTAAAGCATGTAGGTCTGTAACCCTCCAGTATACATTCATAATTCAACATATTTCCCTTTGTAACCCTTTTCATCTAATTTTGTTTAGTTTACTTTGTGGCATTATGGACATAACAAATAGGCTACTATAGCTCTTTATTTCACACTGACGTCTGTAAAATGTCAGTAGGCCTACTGTTCTGTAAAATGCGTAGAAAAACCGTTACTTCAACACTTCTGCTACTGCCATCTGGCGTCAGTCGTGGGAAGTGACTGAGTCATGGCTTGACATTGAAATCCATATTGGCTACCGCACGTCAGCGTTTTTAGTCATGAATCTTGTTCTGGAGGCAGCTATGCAAAGTGGTCTAGCTGGCACAGACACGAAGTCATAAAATCAGATTTTAAACCTAACCATAACCTCAACCACATTGCTAACCCTAATGCCTAACCCTAACCTTAAATGATGACAAAAAAGCTACATTTTGTTTTCATACTTTTTTCCAATATAGCCAATTTTGAAAGTTTGAAAGAAGCATGATAAACGTGGTGCATAGCCAGTAGGAATTAAATCATTTGGAGATAAAAAAATAATTTTGCTTCCAAAACCAGAGTAGGTTAGAAATTCATTGCTGGTTATTGCCTCATGTAAAATTCAGCAAGAAAGGGTGTGTATTTTTAGTAGTTGATAAGGAGACCTCTAAAATATCCCACTTATCTCCTCCTGCAATACACTCAGAGGCTAAAACCTCTTTAGTCCTAGAGCTTTTAGTACATACTCTGGGAGCAGGCTATGCTGTACAGATGTAGCTCCTTTTGTCTACACGGTTCAATCATTTTCTCCTAGAGTTGTGAAGTGTGTTTGCTCGTCGGGTGCATGCTAATGTTACATTATGCGATATCTCTATCTTTTGTATGCCTGAGTTCATGCAGTGTAATATGAGGGCATGTGAACCTGGTATTAACTGAGAACTTTACAGATGCTAGTTTGCTTAACTGATGGATTTTGTAAAATAAAATAATACTAATTTAACAGAAACTATCGCTAAATATACTGTTTATGTATCATTACTTTAACAGACAGTATTTGTACTTTTTGAAGAAAACACCATTGACATGCTATTCAAGTAAATTCTACATGGATTATAAAAGTAGGATTACTGTTTAAAGAAAGAATAGTCTACATTGGTTAGAATTTATTTTGCCTCATTTGGCAAATCTGTTATCAATGTTCGTCAGTAAATCTGGGATCACAGAAGCTAGCAGCCTTTTTCATGCTTTGAGAAGGGATTTGTAAAGCAATTAAATTGCTTATACACATTAGGCCTATTAGCTGCTAGACTTAGGAATATATCATTATCAGTTATTATTGTGTATTCTTCACTTTTAAGTTTCACTTTTTCAGGTAATAATAATCATATACTAAGAAAATACTTTCAGGCCTTTCATCTACTAATTTGGATGTATTTTCAGAATTTCCCTGCGAAACTATATCTGGGAAAAATTAAATGTAACTGACTTATTCAGTAATAATGGTCAACATTGACAAATCACCAATGAGATCTAACGGATCACAGAGGTCCAGTATTTAGATTATACCCAGGAGGCATGACAATACTCATGACATCATTGGTACTGAATGTCTTCTGACAGATTAATTTTTTCATTCTTCATCTGCCATGACTTGGGACAGAATTCAACAGAGGTAGACACAAGTGGTGGAAAATCCATCAAAAGTCTTCGTTATAAATAATAATACATTGAATTTATGAAGCGTGTTTCGTTTAAAAACAATCTCAAAGTGCTACAGTGAGTGGTGGTATGTGATATGTAAATTGCAGACAATAATGTGTAGAGATTCTGATGATCTCTCTGCCCCCTCTCTCTCTCACTCTCTCTCGCTCCCTCCCCCTCTCTCTCTTTGTGTCCCCCATCCCACCCTTCCTCCCCAGTAGTTACTTTACTTTAATGCGGCCTACCTAGACATGACTGATTTGGAAGTAGGTAACATTATATCACATAATATGATATTATATTTCACATGAAATGAGACCTAACTGTAATCTGCCTGTTGGACCTAGCATTGGATTCTTCTGCTTTTAGCTTCGGCACTTCTTGAGTTGGAGCAAAACAACCAAGTTACATAAAACTGTTTTGTCACAGGGTTTTGTCTATTGTTAATCCAGCAGCATGAGGTGTTTTGGCTGCTCAGTCATGCACATAATGGCTCATACAACAGTTCTCTCCAATCAACTAAATTGTCTTGGTTTTTGTGAATCAGAGCATTTTGTTCAAACCAGGACTCCAAGAAATGATAGATTGCAGTATTATAGCTTTCCTCTTATCTGCGTCAACAGAAGATGAAGCAATAGAAAAGAAAGCCAGTTTGCTATTTCCATTCTGTGATGTCCGCCATTAGAGCAGCTGATGTAGTAAGTTGTGCTGTAAAGGTCAAATGAGTGAGTTGGTGTGTGACGTGTGCTGTGTTTCTAATGCGCAATTATGTTTCTACGTGACCGTCTAAGAATAACTGTTTCTGCACTTTCCATAAGCGCAGAGCCCCTTGCATGTGTGGCTGGAAATAGATGTGGGGAGTATGCTGCTCTGAAGACAAATAATTTATGATGATGATGAGGATAATGTTTTCTCAATTACTTCATATCCTAGCTATAACATTGTCTAGGGGCTAGATCATATATTGATGTCAGTCACACTGTATGAACCCAGACCTGTTCCTGTTTTTTCAGCTACAACAATAACCACACAACCTTGACGAAAGACACCTAAGCTTTGTTTGTCTTTGCGAGCGTGTGTCATAAGTTCTCTTTTCCTTACGAAACCAGCTGTGACACTGTAAACACCATGTTGCTGTACCTGCCCAACTCATCTCCGTAGGAGCAGCTAACCCACTGTCACATGGGTTGGAGCTCACCTGTACTCCCCATGACACTCATGAACGTCAGGTGAGGTGAGTGGGACTAGGATATTCAGTAAGAACAATGAAATAGGAAATTAGTAGCATATACTACAGGTTTGTGATGACAGTACATAACAGTGTTGAGCTAGCTATGCTAAACTCCTTAGCTCCAAATACATAATAATATGCCATTTAGCAGACGCTTTTATCCAAAGCGACTTACAGTCATGCGTGCATACATTTTTGTGTATGGGTGGTCCCGGGGATCGAACCCACTACCTTGGCGTTACAAGCGCTGTGCTCTACCAGCTGAGCTACAGAGGACCACAAGGACTACATACTGATGAGACTAAACTGTAATTCTTAACCTGGGATGTAGGCTAGACAAGGCAGACTGTTCCAACAAGGTCAGTCCAGTGCTGTGGACTGTCTTCGTGTTGGATCGAGAACTGAGAGGGGATCACTTTCAGTGGGGCTGCTGAAGGCATGAGAATGCAATATGACCTCTGGGAGACAGAGCACTAATGGCTTTGTTTCAGTGCATGTATGTGCAATGAGAGGAACGACTTAGGTCATAGTTAAGGAATGAAACGGGTGCCACAGCTGATTGGCCTGTTCGCTTTACATTAACTCATAAGTGCTCAACATCTCTTACTCAACCATTACTCCTCATACATAATGCACACAGAGAGAATTTACCTAGGATTTCACCAGCTATTGTCTTGTTTTGGGACTGACTCATGGTGGCAAGACTGGGAGAGGTGGCACTGACTACTAAAATAGCATTGTCTCTCATCTTCTACTAATGTAATTAGAAAGCATTTGCATTGACTGATAGAAGAAGAATGTGTTTCAGACCAGGGTTATTTCTGGACAGCTCATGCTGCTCGGCCTAAGTGTCCTTGTCTCAGACTTTGCCACTGAAGGACCCCAGTTCGATTGTTTGACTAGTCTCTCTCTTACTCTGTCGTTCTGTCTTTCTTTCTCTCTCTGTATGTGTCATATCTCTCTCTCTCTCTCTCTCTCTCTCTCTCTCTCTCTCTCTCTCTCTCTCTCTCTCTCTCTCTCTCTCTCTCTCTCTCTCTGTCTCTCTCTCTTGCACACACACACATATACACTACGCTAAATCACTATAGTGCTGCTTAATGCATCGGTTGAATAAGCATGGGACTATTCACATTCACCTTTACAGAGACTTTAGCAGTAGCATGTCACTTCTGTCTTTTATTTGATGGTTTCCTGTTTTGTTTGTGTCATGCTTTGTCAGTGGTGCTCTCCAGAGAGGGGGCCTTTCATATGATGGTGTGTCTAAGTGAAAATGTAACCCAAGCCAGGTGGAGCTGTGTTTTTGTGACAGTGCTGTTAGCTCAGGCTCCTTTACACTGGGAGTGCATTACTGGAGGCACACAGCTCCCGTTCATACAGAGCTGTCTGATTTCCATTTAATTGCTAGCGGCTGCTTAAACAACTGAGGCTGTGTCCCAAATGGTACCCTAGTTCTTTTATAGTGCACTAATTTTTACCAGGGGCCATAGGGCTCTGGTCAAAAGTAGTGCACTATATAGGAAATAGGGTGCCATTTGGAATGCTGCCTGAGACACAGAAGCCTCTTCAGTGTGAGACTGAAGCCATGTTCTGGGAATAGATGCTCAGTGTCCTTCTCAAGTAAACCCTTTAGAGCCTGTTTTGTTGTACACCGTGAAAAGACACAATGATGATCAAATCAAATCAAATGTTATTTGTCACATGCGCCGAATACAACAGGTGTAGGTAGACCTTACAGTGAAATGCTTACTTACAAGCCCTTAACCAACAATGCAGTTTTAAGGAAAATAAGTGTTAAGAAAGTATTTACTAAAATAAACTGAAGTAGGAAATAGATGTGACTAAACATAGATCGTACCATTTTCACTATTTTCAGAGTTTTATCTGATGGCTCTCGCGTTGACTTAAGAATCCAATAATTGAGTAATAAGAATAATAATAAATAATAATATGCCATTTAGCAGACGCTTTTATCCAAAGAGACTTACAGTCGTGCGTGCATACATTTTTTTTTGTGTATAGGTGGTCCCGGGGATCGAACCCACTACCTTGGCGTTACAAGCGCCGTGCTCTACCAGCTGAGCTACAGAGGACCACAAGAACTCAGAACATACTCCATATTTACTCAGAACAAGTGATATTCAGGTAGAGTGGGACTTTTAATGGCATTTGCCATTTACATTTTTTTGCGATTTAAGTAGCTCTTTGAAAAGTTGCTCCTGTACAGATAAAGGCCACTTTTCCGATTTGAAGCACATAACATTAATTATCACCCACAACAGCCATTAACAAATTAATTTTCAATGTCTACTTCTAATAAAGTAGAAATAGTCATCATTGGAGTTGGGCAATTCCACGGAAGCAGAATGGATGCCAAACAAAAAGATGTCTGCAGAAAGAATGGGGTATCAAGCTATGATATTACACATTGAATTTGAAAAAGATATTTTGATTATTGAACTACAGTAAGTGAAGTGGATTAACACCCGATAACAGAATGACATAATTTGTCCTTGATCTGTATTATACAGAAATGCATACTAATGAATGGTTTACCTGAATAGGTAAACAAAGGTAAAAAAATGTAATATCATCATTCGCATGATTCTGTATTATTATTCTAATGAGCTCCGCCCCCAAACAAGAAATCCGGACCAAATCTGTACCAATCATAGAAATCTATGTTTCATAAGTTTGGACATCACAGTACAGCACAGTAGGGCACATCACAGTAGAGTACAGTAAAGTGCAGTACAATACAGTAAATTATACTTTACTCTATGTGCTCTACTATACTGTACTAAACTCTACTGTACAGTACTGTATTGTACTGACCTCTACTTTTCTTTACTGTACCGTACTGTGCTGTCTAAACTTGTGAAACAGACGTCTATGATTGGTTCAGATTTGGACTGACCAAATTTCAACTACTTTTTAACGTCCATGGACGTCCAGTGTCGCAGTGCTCAGTGGGTGAGAGGGCTGGTTACAGTAAATGGAAAGAGAGGGGTCTCATGGGTAGGTGTCAGTAAGAGCCAGGAGAGGTGACATTAACTGGAGGGTGAGAGAAGATAGACAGGGAGAGAGAGAGGGAGGGGTTGTCCAGACTGTTTTTACACTCTTGCTTTGACCACCACGTGACAGAAAGAGAAAAAACATTAAGCTGAACATAACAGAATACCAGTGGAAGGGAGGACCTTAGCAGGTTACCCAACTGTGGTTTGTGACTACTATGAATTCCCATTGTAGCCAATTCCGTTGCAGTCATTCTGTTACAGATCATTTGGTCATTCTGTTACCGATTTGGTAACAGAATTACACGTTTTAATAACTTAATAATCATACACCAAATTGTTATCATTAAAAAAACTAACTAATTGGTAGGTCTACCTTTACTTGTTACTTCTGTGGAATTTCATTATCCTCCCTCATGAGGGAGAGAAATGTGAAAATATATTAAAGATATGTGGGTTTTTGGTAACAGAATGACAAGACACTAGGCAATATTTCTTAAACTTACAGAAGGCAAATCATTTCTGCAAAACTAAATATACATTTTGATATTAGTTGGCAGGGGACTTTACTTAAACATTATTGTGTTTTGATGTATTTACAGTGCATTCGGAAGGTATTCAGACCCCTTGACTTTTCCACATTTTGTTACGTTACAGCCTTATTTTAAAATTGATGAAATTCTTTTTATCCCTCATCAATCTACACACAATACCCCATAATGACAAAGCGAAAAGAGGTTTTTAGAAATATTTGCGAATCCCCCCCCCCCAAAAAAAAAATTAAAGTGGATAAAATGTACATAAATATTCAGACCCTTTGCTATGAGACTCGAAATTGAGCTCAGGTGCATCCTGTTTCCATTGATCATCCTATCCTTGAGATGTTTCTGCAAATTGATTGGAATCCAGCTGTGGTAAATTCAATTGATTGGACATGATTTGGAAAGGCACACACCTGTCTATATAAGGTTCCACAGTTGAGGTCGAGCCATGAGGTCGAAGGAATTGTCCGTAGAGCTCCGAGACAGGATTGTGTCAAGGCACAGATCTGGGGAAGGGTACCAAAACATTTCTGCAGCATTGAAGGTCCCGAAGAACACAGTGGCCTCCATCATTCTTCAATGGAAGAAGTTTGGAACCACCAAGACTCTTCCTAGAGCTGGCCGCCCGGCCAAACTGAGCAATCGGGGAAGAAGGGCCTTGGTCAGGGAGGTGACCAAGAACCCGATGGTCACTCTGACAGAGCTCCAGAGTTCCTCTATGGAGATGGGAGAACCTTCTAGAAGGACAACCATCTCTGCAGCACTCCACCAATCAGGCCTTATGGTAGAGTGGTCAGACGGAAGCCACTCCTCAGTAAAAGGCACATGACAGCCCGATTGGAGTTTGCCAAAAGGCACCTAAAGGACTCTCAGACCATGAGAAACAAGATTCTCTGGTCTGATAAAACCAAGATTGAACTCTTTGGCCTGAATGCCAAGTGTCACGTCTGGAGGAAACCTGGCACAATCCCTATGGTGAAGCATGGTGGTGGCAGCATCATGTTGTGGCGATGTTTTTCAGCAGCAGGGACTGGGAGACTAGACAGGATCGAGGGAAAGATGAATGGAGCAAAGTGCAGAGAGGTCCTTCATGAAAACCTGCTCCAGAGCACTCAGGACCTCAGACTGGGGCGAAGGTTCACCTTCCAACAAGCCACTCCAGCCAAGACAATGCTGGAGTGGCTTTGGGACAAGTCTCTGAATGTCCTTGAGTGGTCCAGCCAGAGCCCAGACTTGAACCCGAACTAACATCTCTGGAGAGACCTGAAAATAGCTGTGCAGCGATGCTCCCCATCCAACCTAACAGAGCTTGAGAGGATCTGCAGAGAAGAATGGGAGAAACTCTCCAAATACAGGTGTGCCAAGCTTGTAGCGTCATACCCAAGAATACTCAAGGCTGTAATCGCTGCCAAAGGTGCTTCAACAAAGTACTGAGTAAAGGGTCTGAATACTTATGTAAATGTGATATTTCATTTTTTTATTTTTTTATAAATTTGCACACACAAAAGCAGTTTTTGCTTTGTCATTATGGAGTATTGTGTGTAGATTGAAGAGGGTGAAAAAACCTTTCAATTCATTTTAGAATAAGGCTGTAACGTAACAAAATGTAGAAAAAGTCAAGGGGTCTGAATACTTTCTGAATGCACTGTATAATACCTTTTTAATACTTATTTTGCTAAATGTTTTCTAAGACCCGTTTTCCATCTGTTTGACCAGCAATCAAGCCTTTGCTTATTCCACATTTTTAGGATGGATAATGGTAGAAAAATGTATGCATGCCTTAATTTCCCCAAAATATAGACTCAACTTTCATTTGACACCCAATTTGATGTGCTCCTATGAACTTCACTTTAGTGCTCATGGGGCTTTTTACATGGGAATGCCCAGTTAGAAACATTTGCTAAGTTTTGTGTTGACCGAAGTTCTGTCATCTAGATTTCAGCAAGCTAAGTAAACTGGTACTGCGACCAGATGTTACCTTAATCACATGCAGGCAGTCATTATCTACAGTAGCCTCTCAGCCCTAGCCCAGTCTCTGTTACACATTACCTTTCAGATAGATGTTATCACGTCAACCATCCCCCACATATTGCCTGGCTGGCTGTCACAGAATGACATAGCCTACCACACCACAGCCCACCACACCACAACTGAGTCACTGTCTGGGATACTCTCCACTTCGACATGCATCCAGTCCAGCACAGGGCTCAGTTTAAAGTGCAGTCGGGACCTCAGTGTGAAGTCTGTGACAAAGGAACGATTGGTCTTACAGTCTGGCAGACCTCCAGGACTCATTACAGAGATAAGTTGCATACCAACAACGAACAACCCTTTGTGTAAGTGTGCTTTGTGTGCAGGTCTGTTTTCCAGGTAGTGGGAGAGAATAAAAAATAAAAAATAAAAAACATGGAAAATTAACATCTAAACCCAGACCAGAAAAAAAAGCCCAGACGACAGGGAGAGAGACAAATTTGTGGATTTTAATACGCCACTGTGTCAAAGTTAAGAGGGCTCATTTGGGAGTCATTGCGTTAAAAATAACTTTATTGTGGTGGATCATGTTTTGGTAGGAGGGTTCATTTTGCCCCACTGGGCCAGCCTCATGGGCAGCAGATGAGCCTTGCGGCGAAGTTTGTGTCTGCTGTGTGCTGTGATCAGACAGAGCCCAGCCAGCTCTCGCTCCCTCTCTCACTTTGCTCTGCTCTGCTACTGCCCTGCACACTCTACACTCCAGTCCAACAGCTCGTCTCTTTTCTCTGCTCCAGATGATGCCTTGGATATAGCCGGCCCCCATGAGTGATATGAATAACACACTGGAAGACATACACACCTCTGGCTGCCTCGGAGAGAAAGCAGAGATTTTTGGGAGTGGGAAGGGTAATGTGAGTGGCTTTTCCAGCCCATCCCTCATCCCTTTGCATGCTTCTTTACAACCACCAAATGCCCAGCTCTCCAAGACTGCTGTCTGCAAAGGAAATAGGTATGGTTTATTTCTCCTTTGGAATGGCTGGTGTGAATGAGTGTTATTTAATGTATTTATTTTTTGCCATTATATTTTTCAATTAACTGTCTAAAACACAAACCTCATAAATGTGTTAGGAATATAAATCCCAGCATTTTATCCAAGGGCCTCAGCATATCTATCTTAGTTTATACTGTAAGTCACTACTTGAAGTTAATCTTTAACATATGTGATTAGTGAGCTCATACAATGTGCTCTCCTACAGAGGAATAGTACAGCCTTTGTGTTCGCAGCAGCAGGGCACAGAGGTCCCATTTAAAACAAGCTGTAGACTTTGTACCTGTAAACACTTGTGGTGAACACACAACTGTCAACGAGAGGATAGTTTTACCCAATTTTGATAGTACACTGAAAGAACTGGACTCGAATCAAGCACCTGTTACTTTGCTGCTTGTAATTAGTAACTTAGTAACTGCTGTGTGTTTACAGAGCAGTAAGGAAATGTCAATGTGAGCCACCTTTTACCATTCAAGGCCTTCACACATAAACTGTGTTAAATCTCAATTTCATATCTTCTCATGCTACTACTGGAGAATGTGTTGACGCTTTTGTCAGCCCGGTCATTCCCACACGGACAGGGTTGTTTTTTTCTGCTTGATTTTGATGTGAACGGATTAAACGGACACGCTTGCTGCGCTTTGAGAAGTAAACAACATAACAGCCATCATGGCCGCTCTCTCATACAGACACTATCAGAAATCCATGTCAGATTAACATAAGGATTATACACTGTATTTCAGTTGTGGATTCACTATGCAATGCATGAATGGGGCAACACGGGTATACAGATTGTAGCCTATACAGAATGTATAGATGGTGTATCGCCAAACACTGTCTTGATTAATGTCACGTTTACTGGGCTTAATGCAAACTTGGAGAGAGCTAGGCTCCAAAGTGCTATTTCTAAGCGGCCTCCTCTGAAGTGAAGGGTGCATTGTTATCTATTGTTTTATCAAATATCTGTTTGTCCCTCTGCTGGGTGTGTCGTCTGACTGGCTGAGGGGGGGGGGGGGGGGGGGGGGGGGGGCGCAACATAGTCGCAGGCATGGCCAGTGTCACTGTCTGTCAGCCATGTCTGTCTGTCTGAGAGTATCACCTGTTCAGTCATACTGATCCCCTCGAATGTACAGAAGACACATTGTCCTTAACAAAGACCCTAACAATAGAGAGGAGGTATAGAACACAAGCTGGCCATACTCAAGCTTCAGTTTGGGTATAGACTGTAAAATCTGATATCTCAGGTAGAGGCTAAGGAGATCCCATGACTCTCTCGGTAGGCTCCAGTCAGACAGCCCTCCAGCAATCTAATATACAATCCCAATGACATTAGCATGGCTGCCTCTGTTTTATATACTTCTTCTTTCCCTTTCTCCAGGAAGAGTAAAGAGGGAGAGGAGTCTCTGCTGGCTGCCCCAGTTCCAAACCCTTTCCCAGAACTCATTCCCTCAACCGTCTCATCCCTCGTCTCTGATTGTTTATTACCCTGGACCAAAAGCGGCCCAACTCAAGTGAGCAGATATTTTATTACAGTCTATGTTCTCTATATATTATATTATAGAGAACATAATTTCCCCGTTATGTTTTCCAGTTGAAAATCTCAGGCATTACATGTAATTCTAAATAGTATGACACTGCCAGAAAGAAAAACAAGCCGCAAGACACGTGTAAATTAAAATTCACCCTTAGCTCGATCATGTTTGGCGTGCACTAAGCGTCTGATACTGCAGGGCGTGAGGACGCAGAACCAGTTGTGCAAGTATGAAAATGAGGATAAATGAGGGGATGAGAATGCCTTGTCAGCACACTCTACAGGGAATCCACACAACGTGTGATTGTGAGATCCTGACTTTACATAGATTCTGCATCAGCACTAGTGTTACAATGAACAGCACACCTGGTCTAATGGCTAATGTCAAAATTAATGCACTACATTCGGAATAGGGTGACATTTGGGACGAAGCCATAGAAAGTTGGAGAGAGTGGTGTCTGAATGTGGGGGAGAGGAGAGCTGGCTCTGGATCAGCGTTCACTCCTTACTGGATCCCTGGCTCTGTTCGGTTCTGCTTCATCTGATCACATGGAATTCCTGTGCTTAAATGAATAACTCTTCAGTACCTTAACTTGTCCCTATACCTATGTAACTACACAGTAATAACTGTAGTAACAACATTGTAGTTACATATATAGAAACTGCGATGCAATTACATGGTAAGAGTTTATCATTTTCGGTTGGTTATCGGTATAGGTTATTTGTGGCTGTCTCCCACCTAGAGCAGAGAAGAGAGAATTAACGTTTAGGTTTTGGGATTAGGTTTATTATTTCACCACACAGCAGATGAATTGTATACACTAGTTATTGTACAGGATATTACCTTAACTAACTTAAAGTAAGTTTTAAAAAAAAAGTAATACTTTTTTGGGAGGGGATTCGATTCAGCCTGCACTGCGGAAAACCATACAACATGGTCACACAACTGCTGTTGCTGTTCCTGATCTACAGACTAATTGTAATTAGTGAAGTAAAAACAAAACTAATCTCATTTTGATTTGAATGAAAACATTTACATTTTATCATTGTAGGTCAGGAGCAATGTTATTTTTATACTGCACGGATTTGATTCGATTTGTGCCAATGTTGAATCTGTACTGTATGATATATGAGCTTTTACAGAACCCATGCTCGGTGCCATTTACTAAACTGGGAGCACATTCATTATGTTCCAAGCTAGCAATTATGGTTATGCTTTAAGAAATGACTGAACGTCAAAACGGAAAGCCTGCTATACATTATCCCCAAGACTGTCAAGTCAGGCTGGCTGTGGCTCGTTCGATGACCACACCACCCATTCCCTGGAGGCGATTGGTTCCCTGCAGGTGTTAATTACACTCACTGGGTATCTCTGGCTGGGGGAGGGGAGGGGATGAGGCAAGGGGGGGTTAGCCCAACTCAGACCTCTGACTCATTGTAAAGCCTGAAATTACAGAGCTCAGTGCTAACCAAAGAATATCAGCAGCATTAGACTTCGCTCCTCAGCTTTAAATAATGAGTTGCTTTCAGAATGTATTTGTCATTCTCCAGTTGTCTCCGGCGCCAGTGCGATTTAGAATATTTTGTGATTTGCTAAAGGGAGGTAATCAGATTGTTGTTTGTTCTTCTGTATATAGTCTGATAAGATGATTGTAGAGCTTGATTATCTTCCCCAAAGAAACTAAAGTGTCAGTCTTCACTTGATACGGCAGTCTCAAATGAGCCCTTTATACCCGATCCCCTTTCCACTTGACCCAGGATTCACATTGGAAAATTAGAGAGTGATTGCATTTCTCTAATGATCCCCTCACTCTATTGTTTGAAAAAGTCCAAGGGATTAGCATGGATTTGGCATTCTCTTTTGATTGTCGAAAGTGAAATAGTTCGATTTCTCAGCAGTGAAGAAGTATGTAGAATGACACCTTGGTGACCGGGGGCTGGAACAGTGTGGCTCCTTGTTAGCCTGTCTCAATGTCCTCCTTATGTAACACAATGATGAGAGCTGCATTCTCACCTGATTAGGCTGACAGGCTTTCACTCAGCCTTTTGAGCTGTGCCATTGTCGAGACAAAGGGAATATGTCAAACTGGCCAGCTGTTTATGTGTCACAATCCCCCAGTCGCAGGGTCATGACCCATCTTCAACAGCACTTGAGAAACCAGTGAAATCACTGCCCTATCTCCCCCCCCCCCCCCCCAACCCCCATAAATGGGTGTGACAAGTCTGTCTATTGAATCCCCCAGTCTGTCTTTGAGGGTAGTCTGTCTCTAGGCAAAATGGCTTACTCTCAACATTTAAAGTGGGGCTGAACTTCCTGATTTAGCCTCGGTTTCAATTCTCCTCATTAGGTAATGCGACTGTGAACGAGATTTGGGTCTTGGAGGCTTTGATGTGGGTGTCTGTTGTGTGTGTGTTCGAATGGGGGAACTTTCACTCGGCCAAAACAGTGCACAGTTACAGTCAACCTTCTAGATAATTTGAAACAGTCTAATCAGAGGGGTATACTACAATTGAAGCTAGATCTAGTCAGGGTTTTCTAAAGCTAGCCAGCTTCAGTTACCTTCACATTCCAGCTCAGGCTTCATCCGTACTACGATGGTGGATATTGCTCGTCCGCTTTCCGCTAACTCTAGCGGTCTTGTAACTGCGCGTGTACATGTCACACGTTGCTAGTCAAATGCCAAACTCTTAATTGAGACAATGCTAAAACATCAATCCATTAGGGTCATTCCATGTCATTTCAGCAAGCCATGACACCCACCATCTGATATAATAATATAATAATATGCCATTTAGCAGACGCTTTTATCCAAAGCGACTTACAGTCGTGCGTGCATAAATTTTTTGTGTATGGGTGGTCCCGGAGATCGAACCCACTACCTTGGCGTTACAAGCGCCGTGCTCTACCAGCTGAGCTACAGAGGACCAATATAGGTTCTCTATAATATAGAGAACCTATATTATATACTCGTTATTGGGGTGGGATTGACGTGGGGTGTGGGGGGTCCGTGGGTGGCTTTTGACAATTTCTTTGGATTCTTCATGTCTAACTCATTGTTAGAAAAAAGTTTGGTCCAAATCGGATGTTATGTACTATATTTATTTAATATTATTTTAATCCTATAAATTCAAACGGCCAATTTGGGTGCAATAAACTAGCTTAATTTCTCAGAGATCAAATTATATTTCATCAAAATAATGTTGCAGGAATGCTAATCTTATCTGTTTCTAACAGAAACAATTTCAGAACAATCTGAGATGGTGGGTGTTTCTTGTGCTTTTTGAGGTGGAATGACCCATGGGCGAGTCAGTGCAAATTCTTGCAAACTCAGCAGGCTATGGTGTAAAATATGCTTGTTATTACTTATTGTTAATGCCGTCTTTGGTGTGCTTTGGTGTGCTTATCAATGCACAAGCACCTTTTTTCTCACTCCTATCGATAAAATAATTGTATTTAGTCATACACACGTTTTACTGTGCGTGAAGTTTCAAATGCATTCTGTCATTACTAAATGTGTAATGTGATAGGTTTTTTAACATTATAATTTTTTAACACAAAAAAAACATGTGATGTAGCCCTTTCCTGCAGTCAAATGACCTAGTGGGGTGGAATGTTATTAATATATTTCATAATTTCATAATTATTATTTTCTTTTTTTACAGAAAATACTGTGTTTCTATTTCAAACTGTTGTGTTATATTTCAGTCTTCTGTTATGTATATAAAGTGTAATATTGGGATGCAAACCCAAAATGTAATACATTTCACACCATGTGTGTGAGGTGTATACTTTTGTTTCAAAGTAGATTTGTTTAAGACTACCAAGAAACACTCTGTGTGACCCTGATTTAGCCCACTGCAGTAAAAGGTTAATAGAATATTGAATCAGTCGTCTTCCTCAAATGAAAGGGATGATGACACAATCTTTGCGTGAGGGAGGGTATCTGATTTCATTGGTCCTCACCTCTGAGTTAGCCAGCCCTGAGTTAGTCTGCCCAGGAGCAGGTTAGTTCTAAAGGATTCATTGCCATAGAGATTTACATGGCTAAAAGGTGAGCCACTACCGTGGTACTGGTTATCCGGAGTTGAACTCAGAGTTGACCAAAGTTACCTCGCTAACTCCGCAAACCACATATGTACAGTGCCTTCAGAAAGTATTTACACCCTTTTACTTTTTCAAAATGTTGTTGTTACAGCCTGAATTTAAAATGAATTAAAATGAGATTTTGTCTCACTGGCCTACACACAATATTCCATAATGTGAAAGTGGAATTATGTTTTTAGAATTGTATTGAAATTAATTAAAAATGAAAAGCTGAAATAGATTTAGTCAATAAATATTCAACCCCTTTGTTATGGCTAGCCTAAACAAGTCACATAATAAGTTGCATGGACTCATTCTGTGTGCAATAATAGTGTTTAACATTATTTTTGAATGACTACCTCATCTCTGTACCCCACACATACAATTATCTGTAAGGTCTCTCAGTCGAGCAGTGAATTTCCAACACAGATTCAACCACAAAGACCAGGGATGTTTTCCAATGCCTTGCAAAGAAGGGCACCTATAGGTAGATGGGTAAAAAAAAAAAAATACAGACATGGAATATCCGTTTGAGCATGATGAAGTTATTAATTACACTTTGGATGGTGTATCAATACACCCAGTCACTACAAAGATACAGGCGTCCTTCCTAACTCAGTTGCTGGAGAGGGTGGAAACCGCTCAGGGATTTCACCTTGAGGCCAATGGTGACTAAAACAGTTACAGAGTTTAATGGCTGTGATAGGAGAAAACTGAGGATGGATGCACAACATTGTAGTTAGTCCACAATACTAACCTAAATGACAGAGTGAAAAGAAGAAGCCTGTACAGAATAACAATATTCCAAAACATGCATCCTGTTTGCAACAAGGCACTAAAGTAATACTGCAAAAAATTTGGCAAAGCAATACACTTTTTGTCCTGAATACAAAGTG